CCACACAAGAATCGTTCCTGGGAATCAGGTTGCACACAAAAACTCCCTGCTCAGTGATAGGGAAAATTGTGCTTTACTGCTCCTGGATCAAACACCACCACAGCAACACAAAGCAAACCTGAGCTTCCAGCATAAATCGATCCTCCCTTTCATACCTTAACAGGAAAAAAAAAAAAGCATTCATAGATTTTGTTTTATTTGTTATCAACAAGCTTCCTACTGGTACAGATCTGTGTCCCCACACAGCCAGCATAGGAGCTGGCAAAAACTCAATATTGTCCACCCTGGTTAAATTATAAAAAATGCAATTGTATTAACATGTTTAATCTTAATCAAACACATCCTATTGAGCAATATGGCCATGCACAAATGTGCTATTCACTCAAGAACCATGGTCTGGAATCAGCAGCAGTTTTGGTTGGTGCTTATTATCCAACCAAGACTAATCATTAATCAATGCTGTGATTTTTCTTGAAGGAAATGGGTGTCAGGGGAGAAAAATATAAGGAATAACTGTAAGGTAAGGTCAGGTAATTGAATTCACAGGCTATTGCTCCTAAATATTTTCTTCCTGTTTAAAGCACGTTCCCAGGGCAGACAGTTCTTGGTCTCTGGATGCTACAAATCCAACTCCTCTTGGAGCTGGAGAACTGCTGAGGAACCACATAGGTCCCTGGGAATCCCAGTCAGGCTTCAGGTAAACATAACCAAGGAATACAATAACACACAAGGCTTTAGTACTAGCCTTGACAGGAATACCTTACTGCAGCCCTAAGAGAAGTTTCTCTTCTGTACAGTTACATCTTCTGGGCTGTCAAGTACTTGGTGGCAAAGGTCACCAAAAATGGAAATGGGGGCTTCTAGCAGTGGTCTGCTTCACAGACATAGCAATTTCCCTGCAGCCATGGCATGTCACAGTGTATGGGGCCCTGTGATTTGAAGAAAAATGGTCTGTGTTCCTCTGGGCTTAAGGTGGAAACTGCTGTTAAGAACCATACCAGTGCTGACCTGGCAGAAACATCAGTGAGTAATAGTTGCCAGATTATACATATAAACAGTTCATAAAGCCAACACCTCGGTTCTCCTTCCTAGTTCACCCTAGATAAAGCTTGTTGCTTGACCGTGATTATATATGACCATAAAAATGCCTTTCAGGGCAGTTTGAGCACTCATAGATTCATAGAATAGTATGGGTTAGAAGAGACCTTTAAAGGTCATCTAGTCCAATCCCCTTGTAATGAGCAGGGACATCTTCAACTAGATCAGGTTGCTCAGAAGCATATCCAGCCTGGCCTTGTATGTCTCCAGGGATGGGGCATCCATCACCTCTCTGGGCAACCTGTGCCCAGAGATTTTGCGAACGTTTTACCACCCTCACTGGAAATAATTTTTTCCTCACATTCAGCCTGAATTTCCCTTCTTTTAGTTTAAAACCATTACCCCTTGTTCTATTACAACAGGCACTACTAAAAACTCTCTCCCCATCTTTCTTATAGGCCCCTTATAAGAACTGAAAGGCCACAAATAAGGTCTCCCTCAGGCCTTCTCCAGGTTGAACAGCCCCAATTCTCTCAGCCTTTCCTCATAGCAGAGGTGTTCCAGCCCCCTGATAATTTTTGCAGTCCTTCTCTGGACCCTTTCCAACAGGTCGATTTCTTTCCTGTACTGAGGGTGGGATCTCAACCTGGAAACCCCACCTGGAGTAACCATGAATGGAGCCCTGGGTCAGCCCATGCTCCATTCCTTCCTCAGAGCAGTTTGCACGTTTTCATGCGTTCAGCATGCACAGAACACCTTTTCACTGAAATTTTGAAGACTCCCCTCCTTTTGGAAACCCAGAAACCAGGGGAATTGCTCTGCTGACAGCAGCAGCCTGGAAGCACTTGGTTTCTGACACAGGAAGATGGCATACCCTGGGAGCCTGAAGGCCCGGCACTCCTCAGGCATGCACAGACAGCAGGGGGTTCCAGCCTTGCAAAAGGAGTGCAGGTGGCAGCCTAGGACCCTCATGCTGGCTAAAGGTTATGGAACTGGCTGGTAACCAGAGCTTGGTAACCTTCATTTAAAAAGCCAGCACATTGCTGGACACCTTCCTTGCACTTGGCACAAGACAATGCATGCAGGCCCCCTTCCACTGTTTCTTCCATCATTAAGGTTGTACATTATGGTGAGTAGGTTCTTGTAATTTCGAGGACAACACAGGCACATCAGTATCCCCAGATACTGCCTCACTAGAGGTCCAAGACTGCAGTTCAGCTCTCCACTCCTCACACCAAAATCATTTCTTGAATTATTCACCTAATGCAGTATTTGCCATGAGTGTTTAGTTGTTGCATCAACATGGAGGTCTTCTGAGTTTCCTCCTATCCTACCTGCTAATTACGATCTCTCCAACTTCCTAGTATTGCTGATGTTGTGAAGCTCCCCAAGGAGCAATGTTCATTCTGTGCATGCCTGCTGCATCTGGTAGCTCAGCAGCATAAAAATCTATGACAATGATACACATTCAAGTGGCTGTACTTTGGTAAAATGAGGGGGAAGCAGTGCTCTAGTCTGTCTGGTTAACTAAGGCAGAAACTTAAAGGGGTGTGTTTAGGAGGGTTGATAGCATTCCTGTTCCAGCTGCTTGCTTTTGTGAAATGATGGCTCCCTTTGCAGTCCCTACGTAATCTTGGTGGGCACATAACCAGAGACAGACAGACATGCATACCTGTGCGCAAGCACGTACGCACCCGGCCCAGCCGCACCCAGCCCCACACTGCCTGCCATGCTTCTGCCTCTGTTGTTTTAGTGTCTATTAGAGCTCAGTGAAAGGCAAGAGTTGGAGCTTGCAAGGGTGCTGTTGGAAGTGGCAGCCAGGTAGGATGAGAAAGAGGGGGCATTCACAAGCTCAGAGCACCACTGGAAACTGTTTTCTATAGAAAAGTCATTGCAGGATGCTTAGCCCATGCTGCACTGCAATAGGACCCCTGTGTTTGCTTTGCAAAGCCAGGTCTGAAAGATCTGCACTCTTTAAATGCTGTCTCGCTCAGTGGCTGCACCATGTTAAAATGGAGCACTTGAGGCCACAGACTGGAATCCTAGCCAGAGAGATTAAGTACTTGAGAACTGAAGCTGAGCCTCTAACGTAATCCATTTCACTATTCTCTTTTAATTCACTCACAATAAAGAGTGGAAATCTCAAAGGAAGAGTTGACTGGAAAATGCAGTCTGTGCATAAAATTCCTACTTTTACTGTTTTAAGTCTTCTGACTTAAAATATAGCTCTCCAAATATGCAGCCTTAAGCACACGGTTGCACATATACAGATGAGCTTGCATGCGCGCGCGCGCACACACACATACACTCTACCTCGCTCCTTTAGCCAAAACCCTATCAATCTGTTAAGAGGTCAAACATATTTTGACTGATGATTCAGACCAGCTGAATCTTGAATCTTGGTTTGCTGCTGGGATAGTTTCTGTGTCTCACCTCATGGTTGCATTTAACTTCTCTCCTGATTTCAGATAAACTTGTGCGGACATCTGCCACCTTACTAGATGGTCATGAAAGAGATCATAAACTTGCCACACTTGCACAGATCTAAAAGGCAGCAATGCTGGGTTAGAAAAGAGCATTACACTGTTGAGTATGAAGAAGCTGCCATAGTCCCGGAACTTCTGGCCTAGATGCTGTGCCCAGGCAAGATCTGAACTAGCCAGAAAATACAGCTGATTGCTATGTCTCTGGCTTTGATTATTTTTCTTCCAATATTCTTGCAACCCAGGAACTTCCCTAAGCTAGAGGAAAGAATGTCAGTGTGCTGCCATTATTAGTAGCCAAATGGCAAGGACTTGGCTGGAAGGGAGAAAGTTTACAAAGCTTCTGGCTTGCAGTATGGAGAGAAAGAGAGCATGTGCTTCAATTTGGACCAGGAAGCTCAACCCAAGAAACCCCCTTCTGGCCCTGCTGTGCTCCTTTCCTCTCACATAGCTGGCCACTGGATGGGAAAGATGAGCAAACTTTCCCATGGGAGTCCCCGTGCTTCCTGCTGCTCTCCAGGTTCAGCAACCCTGACTGTTTTGCTTAGTAAACAAAAGTGACACCCCTTTGTGAGAGCCATACACAAGGGAAGGGTTTAGTGAGGGCTTAGTTGCCAGCTAACCTCTTCAGAAATGCAAACACAGCTTCAGCTAATGGTATGAGCAATCCACGAAAGTGTCAAGAGATTAGGGATAGCTTTTGGCATATGCATGATATGGCAAAGGGAAGCTTCTGCCCCTGGGAAACAGGTTCTTCTCTTCCTTGGCTGTTGTATTGCCCAATAATCCCTTTCTTGTTCACTATTAACAAATTCCCATAACAGACATGCATTTGCAGTAACAAAATACTAAGTGGCACATGAGCAGCTCTCCTGAAAAGGCTGTAAAGTGATTTTTCCAGAAATCACTGGCTGCATACAGGACTTCACCCCAGGGTAAAACCTAGCAGAAGCTGTTGGGCACCAGACACTGCTGCTACATTTCAGCTAGTGTGCTATATTCCATCTCTGGGACCTGCAGGGATGTTTATTTAATCACACAGAAAATTCACTGCCTTTGTGCTTATATTTTAAAAGGCAAAAGGAAGTGCTCAAGGCCAGGTTGGGCAGGGCTTTGAGCAACCTGGTCTAGTGGAAGGTGTCCCTGCCCATGGCAGGGGATTGGAACTGGATGATCTTTAAGGTCCCTTCCAACCCAAACCACCTTGGCACCCTACACATCCTGTCCTGGGTGGGATGATCTAAAATATGTTCTTAAAAATACCCCGAGCCCTATGCTGTACATGAATGAAGGGATCCCGTGTATGTTATGAATTTGAACAATGTTACTGCTGACTGCAAGGGCTTTATCAGGCTACAACACCATGATGTATACAGGGGTGAAATTACCATGAGGTCTTATATTACACTGAACTCATACAGCAAATCTGAAGCTGAGTTGAACAGGAACAAACGGAACTAAACCAACTTCAGTTCTTACCTGACAACCCAAATAAGAACTAAGTCCAGTCTTTAATGATCCACATGTCTGATCAGCAGCATGGTTTTACTAGTGATAAAGGCAAAGGAAAGTGGCAATCCACGTGCATGATTCTGTCAAACAAAACACATTCTGGATGTATTGCATGACAGTCTGGTTTCTTTAGCAAACACAGCATCTGTCACAGTCCCCTGTTCCAATTAAAAGACATATCTGTGTTTACATAACAGCTGATAATCCCCTATCTCCGGAGTGGTTAACCTAGATGTCCAACATGGTTAAAAACCTCTGTTGACTAACTGAAATCTGGATTTCCTAACTGCTCATTTATCATCATCAAGCAGAAAAATGACACAGTTGAGGCTGTTACTAGTTAGAATGTATCCTAACCTTCTGGGACAACACAAAATTTGGATAGGTTTGCTCTACCTCTAAACCATCCTTCTCTTTACTCACTGAAATCGTTTAAGACTACTACAATTAGCGAGTTGAAAGAAGTTGCTGAATATAAGTTAACAGTATTTTTCTAACAAGCAGTTAAGCAACATCATTAAGCAACAAGAGGCTTGCCCAGAGAGCCCAGCAGGATCTCCATTGCTTTCTATCATTTACCTCATTGCTATCTTCTACAGCATCTGTGAACACAGATCCCTGTCAGTCCCTGAATGGCTGAGGTGTGCAATGGAAGCACCTCCACCTGCACAGGGACTGTAGTAGCTTCTTCCAGCAAGAGACTTCAAAGCACAGACGTGTCTCCTAGAACACCACCAGGATGAGGACAGCCACACAGGAACTGCTGAGGCAGCTCCCATCTCCCCTGAACCCTGCAAAACACAAGGAAAGCAGAACTGGAAGCAAATGGCTTGGGCAGGCAGCAGCCCATAGGATGGGAGAAGAGCCTGAAGGACCATATTGCAGTGCAGCATGAACAGCAAAGAAAGAAGCAGCCGTAGGGCAGTTTAGGGACCTGGTAGCAGGCTGTCTGGTGGGGCAAGGCTGGGGAGAAAGGAGCAGGGCAGAGTGCAGAAGGTGCTTAGAAAGCAGGATGCATGAATGAGACCTTGGTGAAGGCTGGAATTCAGACATGTAGAAATGACTAAAAGTGGGGGAAAAAGATGGGAGGTCCCTCCAAAAAGCACCAAATAATAGAATATTAACAATGCAACACATTCTATTGCATACTGAGCACAAGGAAATCACCCTCACGCAGTTTATCGAACTTGGCAGGCCCGAGCTACTTGCAGGAGCAAAGTGCAGGTTGCTAGTTACTGTGTGAAGGGAGGCCTTGGCTGATGCTTTCAAAGGCATAAGTCAGTCCATGAGGAAAGGCCTGAAGGCAGGGAGTGGGGCTCCAACCAGCAACCTGTGGGTGGAGGGGCTCCCCTACCCCAGGCCATGTAGGGAGATTCCTTCTCCCTCAACCATAGGACGGGTAGCTTCCCAGCTGTATGCCTCTGTGGGTTCTACCACCCCAAGAACTCCATCACTGAATGCTTCCAAAGGTTAGGGGAATCTCTTGGCCAGCTTTATCTGATCAAATGATGGGAGTGGACTGGATAACGATGCAATCCCACAGATAGTGAAGGGGAGCAGGAAGATGTAAACGGCCTGTCTGAGCAGTGAGATTCTGCTGAGCGAGTAGGCGAACCTGTTCTGGTGTATCAGTACAGCCGTTTATGTCAGGTAGTCCTGGCTTCTGCTGTGTGGGTCAACCTGTTGCTCACTTCAGTCACAGAAAATCCCTCCAGTTGAAGCAGCACCTGGGACAGTGCATAAGCTCAAACCTCTTTCCTTCTATCCAGGATTCGTTTTAAGGCTCAGCATAGCTCCTGGTACAGAGTTAGCCTGCTTTAGCAAAGCAGACAGGAATATACATATTTGTCCTGCCCCTACAAAGGCCAAGAAGAAAAGTGTCCACATCACTGAAGCCATTTCAAATTAAGGTCACCCAGCTATCGCTGGCTTCAGCTCTCTACTTGTCAAAGGTCTTTCCCACCAAGAGAGATAACAGCTCCATGCAATACACCATCCAACTATAAAGAGGGACTTCCCCCCCCCATCAGTCCTTCTCTTTGTAACTGTATATTCACATGTCAATAACTACTGCACAGTCCTTTTGACAGACTTCAGCATATTTTGGGGTATTAAACCATGAGTTCCTTGAGGCAGAAAAGCATCTACCCCTGTACCTTTCCTGTGCTACCCACGTAAATTGGTAATACATGGTCCTGTATATCTGAGGTGATCAGAGAAGCAAAGGATTAGCATGGCTAACAAAGCTGAACACTTCTACCAGAAGGCTGACATGGACTAAGTAGAAGAGGCTAAGGAATACGGTAAAGGAGGACAGCACTCAAAAGTTTTTATCCATGTGTGCTTAGCACAGGACAAGCAAACACTGCCACTTGAGGGGCTCTGCCTTCCTTTCCAGGGAAGGACAGAGCAGTTAGCTTCCCAAAGGGCTTTCTATGTGGTTGGTTTTCTTTTTTTTCTTTTTCTTCTATTTAATTTTGTTTTAAAGGCTTTTTTGCTGTATAAGATAGAAAGACACTTACCAAAGATTTCATTGATACTATGCCTTCCAGCAAGCTGCCCTTCCATTGCACAACAGGTTTATCAACCACAGAAGTCTACCAGGGCCCTCCACTAGCCATGTCTTTTTGTACATCTGCTGCTTCTACTGAATTTGAGAGCCACAGCTGTCTGCTATGGGATTTTCAAAGGAACACTGTTCACAAACAGTCCATGAAAATATAAGACAAAGGTGACTAGTGACAGCAATTCCAGGAATTCCACTTCCATCAGCTTAACAAAACCTTGACAGAAAGGGAGATTCCTCACTAATCACAAAGAGCCCTTCATCTCCCAAACCAGGTGGCAGCATCTGACCTGGGAAAGCAGCACTGGCATTTTCAAAGAGGGGACATAGTATGGCATTCAGAGGATGGATCTGCAAAAGAGAATCTTCTAACTACACAGAGGCAGTATAGTTGGAGTAAAGAAGATGTATCCCAGTCAGTGGGAGCCTTGGAAGAAAAAAGGATCACAAAACACTAGCATGCTTTGCAAGGAAGGGTTCTTAACAAACTCAGATGAGATGAGCAAGCCTGGCTGCAGCCAGCCAGCTGAACATAGGCAGAAGAGAAGCTACCTCTAAATTTGGGAACAGACTAGCAAATTTATTTCTGACATTTGTTCCATAGATCTTTGATAACCATTCCTCACTCTGCTATCCATTTTAGAGAACATAGCCAATACTTCGTTTGCATTTTTATCTAAACTGCTCTTGAAAATCATAAAGATGATTCCAAGATTTCTAGTTAACAATAAAACAATTCTCACCAATTGGCTGGAAAGAGCCTAAACTAAGATACACTCAAGTCATGTATGTGTATCTAATGGAAAATAGTAAATAACTCTACAGAACTCCAAGAGTCATCTCAAGACCTGCAACTGTAAGGAATGGAAAGCAGGTTCTGTCAAAGGAAGCTGTTAGACTGTCTGCTTCATACTGTTGATAGTGTTTGGAGAAGACCAATCTTCAGCAACCAAACAGAGCCTCTGGCATGCACCAAGAGTAAAGATATAACACACCTGTAAGCGTGCACATGAGCAGCAGTAATAGGAAATCACTCACTAGTGGCAAATTTCTCATTCTGAAAACAGATTGAGGGAGAAAAAGTATAACTTCTCTGCTTATGATACATCAAGCACAGAAGCTGGCGAGGACAGATCAGGCTGGGTATGTTCTGTTATAAATTCCCTTCAAGTGAGCTATATAATAAAGACAGTAGAAGATGAAGTATACCCAATTACGTGCTTGACTGGGGTACCTTAATTTCCATTGCTTTAAATAAAATTCAAAGAGCCTCCACACATTCCCTCCCAGGCTTGCTCCACAGATCTTGTGCCCTAGTATGTGGCTGCTACAGGAAAGTAGGTACTTTTGTGACTCCAACTCTCATTATGCAAAAGACTTATTTTTCCACCTCACAGCAAAGGAATTTCATGGTTTAGCCTTGCTCACGGAATGGAGCAGATGGGCAACAAAAACCACACAAAGGAATTACTTTCTCCTGGAAAGTCAGCATAACAAAAGCAATTCAACCTTATCATGCAACCCTCCCTCCACCTCACACAGGTGATTTGCAGAGCAAGTTTTGCTATTTGCCTTTCTGTACAGAGAGACATGTTTATGGGTGAAAATCTTGAGAAGATTAAAGGGGACTTAAATCTGTCCAAATGGGAGACATGCCAGAAAAACTGCCTTCCTCGACAATATGAAATGGGGAGAAGAAATGGAAAGAAATGGTAGTCTCTGAGAGGCCTGTCAACAGGGCTCCTTTTCTGCCTTTGCTAGGATTTGAATGGAAGACATTTACACCTTTTTTGCACAGAAAGCCCACATTGCATTCCCCTTTTCCCAGTAGCCTTTAGTAAGCACCAAGCCCAAGGCAATGCAGAAGCTTCTGACAGAGTCCTGTCCCTAGAATTTATCTTCGGGGTAGGCAACAGAGCAACATGCACATCTCTGCAACGATGAGGAACCTCCAGCAAGAGAAGGCAAAGATAAAAATAGTCCTCTCCCCTTTGGGCACAAAAAATACCCCTTGTTAATCTCTAGTAAACAGCTTCAGGCTTCTAGTCCCCCGACAAAGCACTCAACAAGCTCCAAGGTCATCCACCCCCCCACCCCACCCTCATTCCCCGGGACCTACAGTATCAACAGTGGAAGACTGCACAGTGCTACTGTCTCTTACTGCACAACTAGGCATAACCTTGACACAGTGTAACACACATCCTACCATAAAACACAACATATACTTAATTATCATGTTTAGGAAGGCATATACCTGTGTCCCCTGGGACTTTGGAAGCAGAGAGAAAGTGGTACTGTCTTCATAATAAGTTTCTGTATTTAAAGGGTCCTCAGGAAAAGGTACAGTAGTTGGCTGTATTCATCCCTGAGCCAGAGAAAAAGTGACCATTCCCACTTCTTAGGTGCCAGAGGAACAAAACATCCTTAGCTCTCCCTTTCAAATGTTCAGAAGTGCCTTTCATAGTGTGACAAGGAGAAAAAGCTGTGCCTTTTAAATTTTTTTTCCTTTTCTTTTTTTAATCTCAGGAGTTAACCCCAAACTTGGGGTTCTGTCAGAAACTCACCCTCCCGATTCTCTGTGTTTACACAGTCATAGCTTTTCCCTCCTGAAAGTCTCCTGATAAGTGCATACAGAACAGTAAGAATTCAGAATGACAACATGGACAACCTCTAGTACAGAAGTTGGATTTTTACAGTATTTGTTCTGCAACATTTACAAGAACCAATTACTCACTTGAATGTTTACAGATGCTTTTCACATGCCACTGCGGGCAAACCACAACTTCACATTTATACAATGTCAGAATGCTTGGTACGTGTCTGCGTCTTTCACAGGTCATGCAATTCATTCTATTCCTTCTTAAGTGCTTCCAAAGGCTTTTAGGTATTTTGGGTATTTTCCTTCTTCAGCATTTGGCTAAACTGGGAACATTTATTAGTTTCAGTCCTGCTTTGTAAACTAAGAACCTGAAGATTCCCAAATCACTTCTTACTCAGAGTTCCCTCCTAAACTGAGACTGTTCTCATCACAAATTAACGGTGTTGCTAAAGTCATCACACTTAGTTTTCCCTCTTGGTCATCTCCACTTTTGGAGGGCTGCCAGGTCCTTGAACAGGCTGTGTTCCTCATGGTTATTTTAAGGAGACTTCAGCTCAGGCTGTCACCAAAGTAAAAAGCCTTGAATTTCCCACCTTGGTTCCCAGCTGTGCTTTCCTACCAGTGTCTTTCTTTGCAGTCCCTAGGCAGAAGGTACATGGCACTGGGGAACTGAGACAGGCAAATCCATTTCAGACAGGCCAATTCAGTGCAGCTTCTGCTCTGGCCCACTGTGTGGCTGCAGGGATCACTACCTTTTGCAGCTATTGTTGCTTATCTTAAAGTCAGTTATCCACACCGATATCAATCTTTAATTTTACTCCTCCCTTCCAAAGGAGTGTCCTGCTCCTGCTAGTTGTAGAACACTTAAATGAAAGACACTAAATCCCCATTCTTTACTATTTGAGGTAGTTACCTAAGTAGTACTAAAAACCATAAAACTCTATTTAATACACGTATTGCAAGTATAAAACAATCACCTTCTCATTATGGACCTGGGAGATGCAGAATTGTTTCAAACTGCAAACACCCCTATTGAACATCTGAGAACACACCTTTCATCTAAACTTCACTTCAGTTTCAGCCACAAAAAACCCCCAACAGGTTGCATTAGTCCAATCCTACCCTACATCACACTAAGGTTAATCCTCCACTTCAGCTCTGTGCTGTGTGAAGACTCAGAGCTGTGCAGAGGTGTGCTTCAGAACTGCCCCTCAGGAGTCCTCCTGACTGAACAAACAGACATCCATTGTACAAAAGTATGCAGCCACGCACATACCAGTGCCAGTATTTTCTGAACTGTCTTTTATTCAGAGAGAGACAGGTCTCACTCCATTCCTTTCCCCTCATGTTTCATTACAGATTTGGCTGTAGCCTGGCTGCAAACTCTGTTTTGACCCAATACATCTTTAGACACTCCCTATTCCACTTCAGTTATACAAACACTCTCTAACCTAGCACTCATGGCGTAGTCACAGTAAGAAACTATTTCCTGCCACTCCAACCGGTTGAGATATTTTTAGTTGAAACTGAATGCACATACCTGTGGCAGGTGAGGCTCCAGCAAGACTGTGGGTGTGGTGAAACCTCAGCTTTTCTAGTGCCAAGTATTTCTACAGCTTGCCATTCCAAACCAAGGGATGTGGCCAGCTATCCAGGAGTCACTCCTCTCAAGGAGGCTCTAGACCTTTTCGCAAGGTGCAGCTCCACTTCTCTGCTGTTCTTGCAACTGCAGAGGAGAGTTAAAGAATCTCTGATGCCCATCCAGGACATTTGCCCTCTGCTGTTACACCCTCCCACACAGGAAAGAATACAGAGATGATAAAGACCCCACCAATCTATTGCATAGCTGGGAATAAGACCAAGAAGATTTCCAGAGACCTAGGAGCCGCATGCATTTTGTCTTCATTTGCTGATAGCAGGACCAACCTTGTCCTGATTGTGAAGGGTAATGAAGGACAGAAGACCAGTCAGGAGTGTTCCCTTGCTCCACAGGGAATGAGCATTTGCATATCGACCCATGTGCTTACTCATTCTATTCATCTGGTGCATTCTAGGGCAGTTTCCTTTCACCTGTGGTGATCCTTACTGAAGAGCCCTGTAGAATTAACATATTCTCATTACTTGGCTTCCACCCCTAAAACTCTGCACTAGGACCCACTGAAAATGCACACTCTCCTCCTGCCTTATAAGAATGTTTTTAACAGTCAACATACCCAGGATCTGCACCCTTACTTACCTGCCACTGATCTCAGACTACTTTAGAGCTATCAAACTTGTGGGTTTCTGAGTAAATTGCTACCAAAAAAACCCAACAAAGTAAAACCACTCACTCTTCTCACACCAGATAGTTTCTCATGAAGAGCTGTTTCAAATTAAAAAACAAACAAACAAACAACCCCCAAAAAACCCAGGTTCTCCTTAGTTTTGACCAGTGTTTTTTTGTAGTTTTGCAAAACGTGCTGCTCTAAACAAAAGTATAACAGCATTCTGACTAGAACACATGTATATTAGATTTATGTTGAAGCTATGAAATAACTTGTGCTCATCTTGACTACTGGAGTAGTTTCTGCTTTCCATTTGTGTCTAAACCAGAAACTTTTCAACACTGTTCTTCAGAGAGCAGAAAATCTAGTTTATGAGTGGTTCTAACAGACATTCAATTTTTATGTTGAGTGATCATGAAGGAGTTCCTCACCCTTCTCTGCCCACCAGCAGAAATATCCAGTGTGAAAACTCTTATTGCTAATGGAAACTAGCAGTAACCTTAAGATTTGATATGAATATCAGGTAAATTTATCCCATTCTTGCACGAATCTAATTATATGGCACTCGATTCTGCTTAAGACAGCGTTTTATTTCGTAACACAGCTCTTGAGTTGCTTTTCCACGTTAATAGCACCCCCTTGTGTTGGTTTATAAGTACTACACGAACCAGCCACAAGGAAAACCCAAGCCCTTGATTTTGCCAATCATTACAGGTTCTGCATCCAATTCCAAGCAGTGAATAGCCTAATCCTCCTGAAACAGGCTCTCACTGTGCTGGGCCACTGTTCAGCTGACACACTGAAGGTATTGATGTCACATTTGAATCACTAAGATTGCCCCAAGAAGAAAACTCTTGGCAAGACCTGATATTCAAAGTGATCAGAACCAGGTCAGTGATAAGACAAGGAAATCCAGGTAGCTTTAAAATTCAGTAAAATATATTTGGGAGTTCTACAAGTCACATGTCCTCTCAGTAAGGCAAAATCACCAGCTGTTTTGTGGAAACTCAGCTGCTTCGTTTAACTTCTCCATCTCCTGAGCCCAGATACACTCAATGAGTTTGGATAGGAAGACAGGCTGCAGCAGTGGAAAAGCTGCACTCACACTGCACCTTTTTGTGGACAAGCAGGGCCAGACTACAGCTGGTCCTACTTTTGGGTTCAGAAGCAATTGTCTGGTTTTTCTGAAAGGAAGACTGGTTCCATGGTACCATGATGGGCCAAGCTCAGTCTGTAACTACTGAAGCAGAAGAGAAGTTGTTTTCCAGGTGGACTGCCTTGTTTTATTAGTTCTGAAAGCAGATATCCTGGAGAGGGCTTGGAAGACTGCTTTTGCCAAGCTCACGCAGCCATAAAGAGAAAAATACAAGAAGGCTGTTCAAATACTGAATTAGAACGCTTTCCTTTTCTTCTTTTTCCCACCTGCCACCTTACTCCTGACACCAATAGCTTCTTCTGTGTCATCATCATTATCATTCCGAGATCGCTTCTTCTCTCCCTGCTCCCGCAGCTCCTGCAATGTAATCAAGAGATTGACCAAGAGTTCTGGCACCTGAAGAAAATCAGGCTACAACAGTAAGTAAAGGGACAAAGAGCCAGCACCCACCATTCGAGCAATTCTCTGAGCCTCAGCCACACGCTCTGTCAGCATCATAACTTCTTCTTCTTGCATAGGGAATGCTGGCAGCTTCTTGCCAATCAGGTGTTCAATGCGCTGAAACAGCTCTACATCATACCTCAGACAAGACACGAACTTGAATCAGCGCTCCCAAGAGACTTCAGCTGTCACCATCCACAGACACCAGTCCTTATGAACAGGAATTGTTCTCTTGTGCTTATGGTCTCATAAGCAAGTCTTAACTGCATCTGAATGATGCTATAGCTCAGGATGGCTTCACAGATTTATTCAGCTCATCTCTGCTCAGAAGTATTTGACAAATACTTTCTTTAGACAAACACTTCCCCATTTATCAAAAAACCTCCACTTAAGCTGCATTATACAGTACATAAATGTATAATATACAATAAAATTATAAACAGTTGGCTCTGCTCATCACATACCTGCTTCTAAAACTTAACCAGACTTTTCTCCCTCCCTACCCTGGGCTTTGAATTCTCACCTCTTTAGGTAAATAAATGCAACTGGTGCCTCAGAATGAAAGGCAGCATTTTCTCCTCACCCAGGATAAGGTCAGATGTTTTCTGCTCTTAAACACAGCTAAGAAGAATAAGTCTGCCATATTTTAACACTTACTGTGTAACAAAGGTGATAGATTTGCCTGATCTCCCAGCTCGAGCTGTTCTCCCAACACGATGAATGTAATCCTGAAAACAATTTTCCTGATCAGCAACAAGATACATGCAAATAACACAGAACAGAAGTTATAGGAAATTACCCCATGTAATTCTTAGGAAAGAACAGGAAAATAGTGAGAAAATACAGTTTGGATTAAATACTCAGGACCATGAGCAGCACTGGTATATTAGAACATACTAGCTTGTAAAGGCCTATAAGTGGTTTTAACATTTGAATTCTCTTTCTAAAGAGAACAACCACTTTCAATCATTCAAGGATGCAGAACAAAAGCTGTGATACATATGACTTTGCTAATGAACTATCACTTCCTTGGAAAGCTAACATTTCCAGTGCGCCAATGCCTGCATTTTCACTTTTGGGATCTAGTGCTCTACATAGTCTGTCTTCCAGACAAACTCTCTGGCAAGTTGATTTAAATTTGGCAAGCACAGAGGAAGGGATAACGAACAAGAGTAATTTGGAAGCATCCAATTCATTATGCATCTTCTGTGTATATGTTTCTAGGCTGTTTTCCAGGTTACATACTGCTTTATGGAAATTAAAATATTCCCTTCTCCACGCAGGATCTGTGGAGAAAGGAAGCATCACAAGAAAGGGTGAGCTCTGCAAAATGGTTAGAGACAAGATGGGGTGGGGAACACAAAAACTGTAACAAGCAGTTGAAACTGTAAAAATTTTTACAGTTGCAACATTTTTTACAGTTACAACTGTAAACCCCCCACCATTATTTTAACTTTTATCCTTTTACAATGTCAAAAGCAGCATCTTCAAAAGTACTCCCATACTTTCTCCTGTTCACAATGTGTTGTATCTTTGATCCTTATAAGGAACAATAGCAATTCCTGAACTGCATGTTAATAGGTATGCTTTTATAGGAAACCAGGCCCCAGGAAACAAAGTCACACCCTTAAGATAACACCGTATTTTCCATAGAGAGTTAATAACTCACTTTTTTCCCAGTTTGCTGTACTTTTGTGATCTGAAGGTGAAACATATTAAAGACATTTTTCTTGATCACATCCTCACTGAACATAATAGGAGAATTTTTGCCTTTTTGTTTTTTTAAACATGGTTTAAAAAATGGAAAGCCAGACCTGGATCACAGGAAGGGAGGTGACTACCTGAAACTAGTAGTATGTTAAAACTGTTTTCAAAGTCTAGAAGTCCTTTAATGTAATACAACGAAGCACATACTCCGAGCAGAAATACAAAGACATAGAACATCCCTCACTCCCCCTCTTCTAGAAGCAGTTGTATAATCCAGATGAGGCCACCCAACCAAAGTGAGATGCCAACTCAATTGCAGGGGTTGAACTCCACCTTTTAATCTACAGAACTGTGAACTTCCAGTCAGCAGAACAGAGAAAAGGTATCTTTGCTCCTTTATCTAGCTTCAAGTTGCCTCCTGGTGACCAGAAGCTCTCAGCTGGCTTACCTTAGAGTGCGTGGGAATATCAAAGTTTATCACCACATCTACATGTGGGATGTCCAGACCCCTGCTTGCAACATCAGTAGCCAGTAGAATAGAACGTGCCTTTGCCTTGAATTTGTTTAGAGAGCCCAAGCGTTTATTCTGGAAAAGATGAGGACAAAAAGGGAATGAGAGAATAATGCTCATTCTGGTTAATATGCTCTTGTTGAAACACTGGTACAGAACAGCTGAAGGAAACCACCAAAAAAAAACCCCCCACCCAAAACCACAACAAACAAACAAACAAAACAACCCCCACCCACACTCACTTCTCTGATTTCTTTTTGAACTATTACAGAACCAGTGGCAGCATTCACATTAGTTACACTTTTAAGGATCAGTCCAGTCCACTAGGTGTGAAATACCCCTTCTGCAATGTAGTTGTGCTGCAGTTTGGTGCAGCCCATTTCCCAAGTAACAGGTCTCCTGTTTACTCCATTCTGTGGCATATGTCCATACCTGACTCATCTGCCCATGGAGAGGAATGGCAGTGAACCCCAGGTTGCGGAGCAGTAGAGCAGTCCTCTGAGTATTGTTACATGTACTACAGAATATCATGAAAGAGTTTCCAGCTAGTTCATTCAAGATATAAACCAGGTAGCTGTCCTGTGAAGAAACACAGAGAAGAATGTTATGGGGTGCGGTGGGGGAAGAAAGGAAGAAAAGAGAGAACTACAGATGCCACATTAAACAATAAGCATAAGCCAGAGAGGATCAGAAAAGATACTGGACAGATGTGGGAACAGCAAGACAAGGCCAGAAGTGGCGCTACCTTGAATTTGGAAGGGATGAAAATGTAGTACTGCTGTAGTTTTTCAACCGTCTGGTATTTGGAAGAAACAGCACATTTAACAGGATTCTTCAGAGCAGCACGCTGGAGTTTTTGAACCTGGGAAGATCAATGAGAGATCTTGTCAGAAACCGGTATCATATGCTCTAGTCATATAGCCTGATGGAAGGAGAATTAAAACTCTGCTCTCACCTTCTTTGTCATAGTAGCAGAAAACAGTAGTGTCTTCCTATCCCGAGGAATCACTTTTAATATCTTATCCACCTGTAAAAATAGAAAGGAAATAGAAACACTGAATAAAACAGCAATCAAGACATAGCCTTCTCAAATATAATGATCATCCAAATGAAGAGTAATGCCTGCATGCAACTCAGACTCACAGCAGGAACAAATTTCCCGTCTGCTAAAGAAAAGGTGTAGACTGATTGCTTGTTGACAGTGTGAACTCCAGAAGTCCATTATCAGTGGAAATCTCATGCAATACTCCTGCAGGAACGTGCAGGTGGCATGTTCAACAGTAATTGCACCCATGTCAGCTGTTCCAGAAAAAACAGCAGATTTCAGAAACAAAATGCCTCCTATTGTTTTGCCAGTACTCTGCAGAACTCTGCTAAGTTCTCCTCTCACCTCAGACTTCTGTGCAAATATTAGTTCCTAGCTACAATTTGCTACTAATTTCTACTGAACAGCTCAGTGTTTACTATGTGGCTGTCTGAAGTGATTTCAAAGGGACTCATCTAGTGTTCCAAGCTCCTCTTTTAGCACATACCCACCTCTGTCTCAAAATCCATATTAAGGATCCGGTCAGCCTCATCCATCACTAGGAACTTCAGAGCTCGTAAGTTGAAGCCCTTTGTGTTCTCCAGATGATCAACCAGACGGCCAGGGGTTGCTATCAACAGAATAATGAGAGCAAGTTTAGATGAAGAGATCCAAAGAGTCATTATTGACAAATGGATTCTTTGCCCAAGAGAAGTAAACGCAGACTGCTTTGTGGGAAGGACTCCTTCACAGGAAATCTTCAGAATGTTTTGAAGACTAATGAAGTCAGACCCTCTGAAGTATGCCCTCCTTCCCTCTCTCCCCCTCAAGAAAATGCAAACCAGAAGAGACTGTAGACAAGCTATACTGAGAAGGATGAGACCAGCATTTTGAATACTTCAGGAGAATGAAGAAACAAGCCAAAGGCAGTTTAGCAGGAATGCTTTGGAATGAACTTCTAGTAGCATGGCTACTGATGTATACTTTGGAAACATGAACAAGGAATACCCAGAGCACAGGACAAAACCACATGAAGGATACACTCTCACTTCTTCAATGAAGAAAACCTTTGGTACTCTTTATTTGGACAACTACAGTTTGATAATATTCACACTTAGTAGCCCCAGCACATAAACTTACCAATTATAACATGAGGTTTCTTGGCTAAAGCCAGAGATTGAGACATGGTGTCAATTCCACCCACAATAACCGCTGCAGGATGAACAGAATACAGTGAAACATTCAGTGTAGCACCTGGCACCAGTTTCCTCTTCCTCCCTGCCACCCACAATAACTCTGTACAAATGAAAGGCCACTTATCTTTATGAGAACTCACTTTATTTTATTACACCTGACCTTCCCAGGCCTCCAAAGTCCTTACTGGCCTCAAGTATTTTAATTTCGCAGTTGAAGAGCTATAGACAGAATCTTTATCTTGCATCTTTACTCAACTGCAAAACCGGAGGAATTCTAAATATACCCACAAAGCTTTTATGTTTGTTTAGCATATGTAAGCCACCAATACACACAGTCTAAAAGAAATATTAAACTACATCACGTATAGAGCAGAGTTCTATGCAATTTCACTGGACACAGACTTACTATTGAGAAGATTCTCTTCTACTTCCACCTTTAACTGCTTGGGCATAACATTCAAAAGAGCTGCAGACTACTCCATGAGGAAAGACCATGCAGTCTTTCTTTCCCAAAGCTAATATCAGGTATCTGTCTTCCAGCATCCCAAACTTTTCAACCTTTTGTTCAACCCTCCAAACAAATCCTTTCTACTTTTTCCATTGAAATCTAGAGCTGACAAACTTCAGTCTTCAGGAAAACTGCTCCAATATCACAATGCTACTTACCACTGTGGACACCAATGGACGATCCAAGAGCTTCGAACTGCTCAGAGATTTGGAAAGCCAACTCCCTTGTGGGCGTAAGGACAAGAGCAAATAATCGCTGAGGTGTTTCCAGCAGTGCTTGAAGGATTGGCAAAGCAAAGGCTCCTGTTTTTCCAGAGCCAGTTTCTGCCAGTCCAATGACATCTCTGCCTACAAGGATCAGCAAGGAGGATAAAAGCTGTTACAAATCTAGACCAGAGAAAGTAGCCTTTAAAGCATGAGAATTCACTAAGGATGGAGTGAAGAGTGTGTAAAAGACACATAAAGGGTAAAGAAGAGCAAAGGGCCAAACCAAAGTATTCCAGAATATCTCTGCAGCATTTTTAGGGTGACTTCATTTGTATGACAATTGCAGTCCTGATTCTTTCTATTCTCTAGTTAAAATGCTGCAAATATAGAGGTTTTCATACAAAATTTAGGTTTAAAACACCCTTTAATTTATTATTTCTCAAATCTCCCTGTCAGTTTACAGCCTATTGCTTCTATCTTGCTAAGTATTCTATACCAACTGTTGGCCATTTACAGGCTTACAAGGAAACAGACTTCAGTGTCTGAGTCTTGGGTTATACCAACTACAAGAAAAAAGCACTACCAAACTCATATTTCACAAACCATAATAAATTCTGTCCCACTGCTTCATAGTCTGCAGTAGGAAGGATTACAGCAGCAAGTCCTTTGCCCCAAAACAGTGCAGACAAAGGCACTGAATTCATCAGCAGAATCCATTCTAACCTCCTACAGCTGAGAAGAACATGCTGCCAATAGGCCTTGAACTGGAAACAATCTCTCAGGAACACAATCTCACCTTTGTTTTTTCAAAAGAATCTTACACATGGTGGAAGAGTCTGACAACAGTTAACTACTAGGACAGAGTTGACATTGAAAGGTTTATTCCCACTCTGTCGTTACACTGTTCTGTTCCTGCTTCACAGTGTTTTATTTTTGCTTTAACCAAATAAACAAAAAAAACCAAAACAAAACAAAACCCCAAAAAACATGAAAACTAACAAGACAAACAAAAAAAACCCCACAAAGCAAACAAACAAAAACAACACACAAAACCAAATATTCTAGAAGCAGAAATGTTTGCCAAATTCAGTATTTTCCTGTAATTCCAGGATGGCTACAGAAAGTCACTACGGTTTTGTTATTACTTACTCCAGAAATGTAATTTCAAAGCACTGACTGCTCAGAGCAAAGCATATTATATAAGCTATGTAATCAGTCAAGGCACCTTTAATTTTACACACACTGCTGTTCTCTACCAGAAGAGGCACAGTCCTAAATCTATCAGAAGTTTCCTCTATGTCCTAAAATTTTGGAAAGAAGATGGTCAGTGGAGATCAGCAGCTCAAATGATTGACAATAATTCTATTTAACATGAAGTATCAGAGCTGTACAACAGCAGTGAACACTCAAGAACCCATGTCTGCACCTATTTGAAAGTTTCCAGTTGCAGCCAGTGTTACAGGAGAAACTGCTATTCCAAACTGCATCTGGAAGGACACAAGAATGAATATAAGCACTACTTTCAAGCCAGAGATCTTGAGTGAAGAAGAAGTGAGAACACTCTCATTCCTGCCAATTACTTCTCACTCAGCAAAATTCATTCACATATTGCTCCTGAGGCATTCCCAGATTTGGGATCAGAGAAGCATACTACTCACCTTGAAGTGCCACTGGAATAGCCTCAATTTGGATCTTTGTTGGCATCTTCCATCCTAACTGGTCACAAGCTTCACATAGGACATCTGTAACCCCCTGAACATTATTGAAAAGAGAAAAGGCAAGAAGACATCACCAAAGAGACTTAAATTAAACCACACAGTTAAGTTAAATACATGCTACAACAGAACCAAGCTTGTCTATAGCAGGGACAAACCCCACGAGGCCCTCAATGCAAACGACGTGAAAGGGCAGGCTGCTCACAACGATCCCCCCATTGATTCAAAACTGAGGTGGCTGCAAGCAGTAAGAAACTTGCCAGTTTTGCTTAGTTTACAACAGGAACTTTCTACACACGCCCCTGCTGTCTCTCCTCCCCTCCCCCCCAATCCCACGAGCATGGAAAAAGGAAAATGCCCGGGCAAGTTACCACAACTGAAAGAAACCCAGGCAACCAGCTGAGGAACACAGACCTGGCCAGCCACGCCAAACTCCCGGAAGCAGACCCTGACCTCCCCAAACCTCCCCATGGGGAGCCGCACCGCCACGCCAGCGGAACAACGCAGCCACAGCGCCGCACGTGTCTGCTCCCTGCGCACCGGCACCTCCGCCGGGCGTGGCGCCGCCTGCAGCCCGGATCCGTGCCGGCCTCACCAGGTCCTTGAAGCTCCGCGGCTCTTCCACTGCTGCCTCCGACTCCACCACCGCTCCTTCACCGTCCCCTGCTGCCATTTTGGGCCGCGGCCCACTAAAGTAGCGCAAAACACTCTGGGAATTACCCTCCCCTCTGGGGTGTTATGGGATTTGTAGTTCCGGGGAAAGAGCCAATCGGCGCGGGCGGGGCGGGGCAAAGAGGAGAGGAGTAAGGCTCGCCTCGGCAGTCGCTGCGTGTTGAGGTGGATGCTTTCGTTGCTGCCGTTGGGGGGGAGCGGGGGAGCGGGGGAGCGGGGGAGCGGGGGAGCGGGGGAGCGGGGGACCGAGGGACCGAGGGACCGAGGGACCGAGGGACCGAGGGACCGAGGGACCGAGGGACCGCGGGACCGCGGGACCGCGGGAGCGAGGGAGCGAGGGAGCGAGGGAGCGCGGGAGCGCGGGAGCGCCTGCAGGATGGGAAGGGCCGCACCGTGACATCAAAGCGCTACTACGGTGGTAGTGTCTGTGTGAGATACAGGTGGCCTCATTTCCTTAAGGTCAGAAGGTGTTTTCTGCATATCGAGTTTTTCAGAGTGCAGCTCTCTGAGAAGTGGTACCAGCGCTGTCATTTTCTCCTTTCCTGATGTGAAGGAGTCAGCATGGGCCTGGTTTGCTGTGTCTGTGGGAACATCCCATGTCTTCACAAGATTGTTAAGCAGCATACTTGAGGAGGCCTTTCTTCTAAAAGTGTCCAAGGCTCGTTTTCTTTAAACTTAATTAGGTTCACACTTCTGCAATGGGGGTTGTGTGACGAGTGCTATGCTCTGCTAAGTTGGAAACTGGGGAGGGACTTTTCCCTGAACTTCAGGGAAGAGGGAGATATGGAATTATAGCCACCTGTACTGGGATTCAAGCACGCTGAATTGGCTGTCTGAAATCTGCCTGCTTGGCATTAACTGCAAATGGGTGAGCCTTTGGCCTGCAGCTCAGCATTAGCATTGCTTAGACAGAGTGTGTGTGATGAGTGTTCTGTAGTCATAAATCCTACAATTGTGAAAATACAAACCCAAATGAGCTTGCCAGGTACAAAAATACAATATATAAACCTACATATATAATAGACATAAAGAGTAAATAAACTTCAGAAGTGCTGGTATGAAATATTTTGAAGTACTAGTGAAGAAAAAGAAAAGGAATTGTCATTGCTCTGCCTTGTTTACCTGCTTATAGTAATAGCCAATGTGCAACTTTGCCAGAAATTCATAAAATAAACCAAACTATGCATGAAATGACACTCCCCCTTCATTGCTGCTGTCGTAATTCAGAGATCCTGCAAGTGCCTAATAAAATATTCAAAATGGTGATGGATTTAGTGTCCTCTGGTATGCATGGTAAGTGCAACTTACCATGTCATGATGCTGGTTCCTGAGCTCATTGGTTTCCATCTCGTCTGAGTGTGGCCTTTTTGATCTGTAGTCCCAGTGCTGGTAGCAGCAGGGCAACCTTGCAGGTAGGTAAGCCTCCTTTGGTTTAGGGAAAAGGATGCTAACACACCCAAGAGCTCAGGCTTCAAAAGGACAGGAGAGCCAGCTGCAAAATGAAGCTTGTGACTGCATTTCTGAACAGGTCTCCCTCTCTCCTGCTGGTTGTGGAGCCCAGCCGTGTGTGCTCTCAGTGGAAATGCTGACATACCTGAGCATCTGTCACTGGATTTCAGGCGTGCCATTTCCTTTGCTCTCAGAACAATGAGGAAAGTGAGGGGAAGTCTGAACAAATGCTCTGCGCGACAGGGAAAGGAGAGGAAGCCTGAAACAATTCACTGGGCAGCAGTGGAAATGAAACTGCTGCATCCCACTGTGCTCAGGAGAAATTATTTTAAAATAATAAATAAAAAAGAAAGAAACACCCAGTGCAGATGACCATATGTTTCAAAACATTACAGCCGTCTTGAGTTATGAGCTTGCTATATATCACAGTATCACAGTATGTTAGAGATTGGAAGGGACCTCAAAAGATCATCTAGTCCAATCCCCCTGCCGGAGCAGGAACACCTAGATAAGGTTACACAGGAACGTGTCCAGGCGGGTTTTGAATGTCTCCAGAGAAGGAGACTCCACAACCTCCCTGGGCAGCCTGTTCCAGTGTTCTGTCACCCTCACTGAGAAGAAGTTTCTTCTCAAGTTTAAGTGGAACCTCTTGTGTTCCAGTTTGTACCCATTGCCCCTTGTCCTATCATTGTTTGCCACTGAGAAGAGCCTGGCTCCATCCTCGTGACACTCCCCTTTTATATATTTATATACACTAATAAGGTCACCCCTCAATCTCCTCTCCTCCAAACTATAGAGACCCAGCTCCCTCAGTCTTTCCTCATAAGGGAGATGCTCCACTCCCTTAATCATCTTAGTTGCCCTGCGCTGGACTCTCTCCAGCAGGTCCCTGTCCTTCTTAAACTGAGGGGCCCAGAACTGGACACAATACTCCAGATGAGGTCTCACCAGGGCAGAGTAGAGGGGAAGGAGAACCTCTCTCGACCTACTAACCACCCCCCTTCTAATACACCCAGGATGCCATTGGCCTTCTTGGCCACAAGGGCACAGTGTCGGCTCATGGTCACCCTGTCGTCCAGTAGGACCCCCAGGTCCCTCTCCCCTACACTGCTCTCTAACAGGTCGTTCCCCAACCTATACTGGAACCTGGGGTTGTTCCTGCTAATGGTTAAGCCCGGCCAGCACTGAGACATGAACCCTTGTAAGGGTCACTGGGACGTCTCAGGAAGTGGAGTCAGGGATGTGACGGGAAGTCACTGCTTGTGATCCTTTGTTGAACTCATTGCCCATATAAATGAGCCATATAAATGGTAGGTGCTGTTTTGGTGGGGAGCAGGATGCAACATTCTATTCTGGTGAAGTTCCAGTTTGAGTAATTCCCTTTTGTCAGTAGATGCATTTGAATAAAAGTTCCCTTCTGTTCTAAACTGCTTGGCTTTTGACCAAATGTGTTCCCAGCCCTACTGCATATTATAAGCTCAGTTTTCCCTTGGGAGCATCCACATCAGGTGAATTTTTGTGCAGGTATAATGCAAACTATTTCATAAGGGATGCATAATAAGACAAGATGGACAGTGTGTACAGTAGGTCACAGTAAACAGTAAATGGTGCTGTCTACCCACTGGGATGCTCAGAGGGAGGTTATTGGTGTATCCTGACTCTTTGTACTTGAGTTTGTAGGCACCTTTTATTGGGCTTTCAAAACATACTATATGACTTTGTGTTAAATTCATGTTTGCACTTCTGCTTGACCATTGAATCAGGCTTCATAACTGCTAGCCTCGCCGAAACATAAATCACACATGTACCCTTCTCTCACTGCTGCCTAGGTACCAAAGGAATTGTTCCACTAGCACACTTATTACTCTAAAGGGTAAATGACATAACTACTAGCAAAAAAGCTGCCTATCAAAGACACTTCTCCCAGATGTTGCTTGTGACCCCTCAAAATGGTAGATTTCTGGCAGCACAGCTCCCAGGGCTAACTCACCAGATCTAGTGCTGGCTGCATGGGAGGAGGCAGGATGGCATACCTGGAGCTGGGTGAGAAGGATCCAAACACCTCCTGCTCTGCCTGCTAGCTGCTAGATCAACTGTAGCTGGGGTGTGAGGGCACAGACACAGATTCACAGGACTGCCTGACTTAGAAGGCGTCCAAGAGCACTGTATGGGTTTTGATGCAAAGTCACACATCTCCCCTGCCCTGTGTAGATCTTCCAGCCTGGGGATCCTACTCTCTGCTTGAGCCTCCCTTTGCATTCCTAGCAAACAAATCCAGAGGGGAGTGGCTGAGACCTGGCCAGGGGAGTGTTACACCTTAAGCTCAATTACACTCACACAACAGCACTGCACAACAACCCAAATCCAGAATCTGAGTGAAGGGTTAGCCTAGGGAAAAACAGAAGCAGGATTTTTTTTTTTTGCTTCTGTGTGGATGAGACTGAAAGCAAAGTACCTGATTTGTCCCAGGCTGCTGAAACAGTGGTTGTGATTGCAGTGCAGGACTGTGTTGAGCATGACAAACCAGCCATAATGAAGCTTAAAGCCTATCAAATTCAAATCCTTCTGCCAGCCAGATTTTTCTTTTCAGAGATGTTGCTGTTCTGTGTCATTCCCTGTGTGTGGATGTGTGGGCAAAGATGCATTTCCAGAAAACTGGGGAGGAGGTAGGAAAAGAATATATTGCATAATTTTCTCTGTGATGATGAAACCATCCATCTCATAAGCATTGTAAAGCTGTTGTACTTTGTACATTGTAAAGTCAACTGATCTGGTGGAGTTAGGTGGTGATATGCTGGAGCACTAAGAAAAATGTAACATCATGTCTGCTTTTGCATAGGGTGCAGTTCACACTTATGTACTCACATGTATGCACCACGGTGTTTGCATGTCAGACACCAACATCCACAGTGTACATGGATTAATTTGCACACCAAGATATACACTCACACAGACAAAATCATTTACACTCATATACCAATGCCAGCTGTGTGGCCTGGAGCTGGAGACCTCACTTTTCATTCTTGCTTTCTGAACACGTCCAGCTGCTCATACCGACTCCTGTCTCCAGTGCTGGAACATGAAACTGAGCAGGGTGAGCCAGAGGGCAGGAATGTGGTCATGTGCAGGTGGGCAGAGAGACACTGATGCAAAAGTGCTTCATATTAATTTAATCAAACCAACAGTGTAGTTGTTCATTTTTGGCAGATACGGGCATTACAAGCATCTGAGTCACACTCTGAGGAGCCAGGGCTTTTGTTCTTCTTACGTGAAAAAACAAATGTTGATGTCACAAAAGGAAGAGGCAAAAAGGACAAGGATTCAAGCTCTGCGAGATGGATTGTTGCCCTTCTCCAGAGTTTGCTCAGTGTTACAGAATTACAGAGTGAGTTTTTCTAATCGTTTTGATACGTGCATCTACAGGGAAGTTTCATTTACCCACTGAGGCTACCTGTGGAGGTGAAATTATCCCGTGGAATTATCCCTGCATTAACTCCTCTAGTTTTCTCA